GTTTAAAAATCGTATCACCGTTATCGAAAAAAAATATATCGCGATATATATTGATATCGAATTATTGTCCAGCCCTACTGTCACTGAAAAATAACGAACCCATACTACTTCATAAAATAACTTCAGTGGCTGTTTACCTTACAGAGGGAACACGCCATCACTAAAACAATAAAAAAAAAACCTATGTACAGCAATGGTGTGGTGTCTGCAGTATCACCCCCCCCCCCCCCCGTGCCAAACCTGTCAATCCACAGGAAACAATGTAGTCCATTGTTGCATCTCCCACATATAAAGCCCCTCAGGTGCGACACAGTAGCACATTATAAAACTTCAAATCAAATGCGACTCGTGCAAGATGACGACCATAAAAAACACAGCTTACTTTTTCTCTTGCCTATGTCCATATCAGACGTCGCAGCCTCGAGGAGGAGAACCACGCCCAGGGTGATGGCGGCATCTAAGAGGCTGCGTTAAGGGACGTGGACGGGGAGGAGAGAGGGCACAGCTGGGGGGCATGGGGGCATGGGCACATCCCTCTCTGCTACTGCAAGTGCAAGCTCACGTCGGAGAGAATGCAAAGCATGGCAAGCAAATTGCTCTGAAGTGGACAAAAGGGCCTTTTACTTATATTCTCTTTTTAGTTATATAAAAGAAGAAGAAGGGGTGGCATGGGGTTGCAGTGGTTAGCACTGTTGCCTCACACCCCCGGGACCCGGGTTCGAGTCTCCCCCGGGGTTACATGTGTGTGGAGTCTGCATGTTCTCCTCTTGTTGTTGTGGGGTTTCCTCTGGGTACTCCGGTTTCCCCCCACAGTCTGAAGACATGCTGAGGCTAGTTGGAGCTGAGGCTGCCAGATTCCCAGCAGTCTCTGCTCTGCTGCTTGAAGGATACTGAAGAGGAGGACGATGTGGGTTTCCGCCACAAACTGCGCCTGGCTGCTGCTGTGTATGTAGTTCTGGGTGTGGAGGAGGAAGCACAAGAGAGTGGTGATCAAAGCAGAACTCTATGGAGAAGGACAAGGAGCTCCTGTTCTACACGACCTATGAGGTTAGAGGCCCTTACTGACATAGCATCTCCCTAGGTGACCTCATTGACCCATGTTGTCCAGGTATCCCAATACTGGGCTACTAAAGCTTTAAAATCGATGTCTCACCACTTGCCCGGTGCTGGGGTTCTTATGGGCGTAGGGAGGTCCTCGGATGTGGTTCCACATCTGCCCAGAGGTCATTATCAGGACCACGCTCTGAAGGGCAAGCAAACCTGTGAGGAGATTCTACAGACACCAAAGTTTGCCCAAAACCCCGACACGCAGAGGAACTCGAGCCTATGGAATGACATTGTTGCCCATGGCAGCTATTTTGCACAATTTTTGCTGCAGCTTCCCAATACAAAACCCTTCGATTAGGTGCACATTTACCTGGGGTCTCCCCAAGAAGCAAGACAACAGAATTATGTTCCTTTGTTAATGAACACAGCAGGTGTAACATAGAAAACAACTATCAAGAAGGGAATAAATAGAAAAGAATAGAATAGTGATACTTTATTAATCCCCATGGGGGAATTCTCTTTTTGCATTCTTGCTCTCCACTAGAAACACAGATACACATGCAGGAGAGGGCAAGTTCGGGGGAGACAGCACAGGGTAAGCCAGCGGGAGGTGCCCATGGAGCCGGGGGTTAAGCGCCAGCACTGGGAAGGACAGCGTGAGGAATAGGGAAGGTCCTACCCACTTACCAGCGCTGCAAAGGCCCAGGTGTTCCTGCTGAACAGGAAGTCCAGGTTGTTGCGGCGCAGGTACACCAGGCTCCCGATGGCTGCCAGCAGGAAGCCCAACATGAGCGGCCCGGCGTAGTTCGGTGGCCGGATGATGCGGATCTGGGCAGGAGCACAGACATGCTGGGCTTCAGCCTTTCGCTCCCCGAACCCTGGACCCCAGACCCGAGCCCGCCCACTAATCGTTGCAACACCACCACCTCCTTATTACTGACAGAACCACAAACTCGCCCAGTTAACACTCAAAACTTCATTATGACAACTTAGATGTCGTGCTCCCTTGGGATGGTCTGCAGAGGAGACTCTCAGAACAAAAATGGCCACGTTTCCTGAACTTAAAATATAGTGCAAAGCTTGGCACATTTGCATGATTGTCAGATGAGCAACAATCCCATACAGCAGCCTGGAATGGACGTGATCAATCCCTCTGCTCCTATCCCAAAAACCAACACTTCAGCAGGCAGGAACTGCAGGACGGATATTTATTCTGGGGGCAGCAGGTAGTAATTTGTTGAATGGCCTCCAGGGGGCAGTACAGCAAAATACACCACTTTTTAAAAATGAACATGATGATTCAGAAGAAAACATCAGATAACAAGCCTGAACTGAATGATAGCTTTCCCCTTTTCCAGTGAAATCTGAGCATCATGAAGTGGAGGGGGAGGATTTCAAGGTCTTACATTGACGTCGGTCCGGTCGGCTATCCAGCGGGCGATCTGCTCTGCCCCGAAACCGCGGATCTGCAGCTCGTAGGTGTCGGCCCGCTTGGGCTTCCCCTTCGGCGGGAAGTGGATGAACGTAGGAGCGGAGTTCATGTTCAGCTGGGAGGAAAGGTAGCAGAAAGCTTGAGAACGGGTGCGAAACTACTGAACTACCAAAGTCAGCGTCATTCACAAGCTGCTGCCGTTCCACTGGTGTCACATGACCAGTCACATCAACACCACATGGTGATTCTTAAGCCGGTCCAGGCCACTCAGCTAGTACAATTTACATTGTATTCCACTGACACACCTAAATTGATTTGTCTTCTGAATAAATTAACCTTAATTACCTGGCTAAGGCATGCAGGTCTAGATCTAGAACAAACATAGGGGACCTGCGGCCAAGACTGAGATCCGGCCCCAAAGCACATGCAACGATGCTAGGTTTGATGCAGCTGCAGTGAATCGAGAAACGCTACCATCTGAAAGACATCTGAGCCTTCATCGAAATCCACGGTGACGAAGAAGATGCGGTTGGTGAATGCGCTGGAATAACGCCAGGAGTTGGCCAGGATTTGGTATTCGTCGTCGGCCTGCCTGTGTACGGAAACACAGCTCAGCTCACAGAACAGGGCAAAGTCGACCCCACAGTGAAAGCCCTGGTGGGAGTGTGACATGTGTTGCGGTACGGGGGTGGAGAAGGGGGATATTCGGGTGTCAGGGTCTCTAAAAAGTAGCAGATATGGTCAGACTGCCCTTAAGAATTTGACCTTTAGCATATTGTAAGAAAATTAGGCTCAGATTAGCAAAGGCTGAGAAAATCCAAAGACAAAAACTATTCAGCTACAACTAAAGGATGATTAATCAACTTAAAATATTTATTCAGTGGGCCGTTTCTGTCATGTGCAAGGAAATAAGAATTATTATTATTACTTTTCCACATGTAGATGGAAATATGAAATAGTTCTGAGTTTTTCCCAATCAAACCAGAGACTTAAAAACCCTTGATAAAGACAAGATCGCCCTTACCTGCACACCCCACACTGCCTCTGGGGCTGGAGGGCAGTGAACATCACCACCACTGAATAGTTGCGTGGCAGAGCCTTGACGAAGCGCCGAAACTTGTCACCGTTCATGCGGATCACTGGTCTCCTGCTGGCCCAATCCATCAGCTGACTGACTTTGTCAGACAGCAGTGTCTTTGTAACAAAACCAAACCATTATTTTGGTGAGAGACTATCCGGAAGCTGAAGCGATTTTGAACTTCAAGCATTCCCATACTGGACTGAATTTCAGGTTGCACAGGTTATGAATAATATATATTTCATATATACAGGGTGTCCATAAAGTCTCTTAATTTCAAAAATATATTAAAAGCAATTGACAAGATATCTTCATCAGATTTGTTCTATGTACTGAGTGGTTATCAAAGTTTTTAATCAAATGCAAACACACACCCTCTGTGTTAGTGGATCACTGATGCCATTTCCACCATTGATGGGGGTATGCTACAGCGAACATGGCAAGAAATCGAGTAACATCCTGATGTGCTTCGTGCAACTAATGGTGCCCATATAGAGGTGCATTAAATGAGGCAACAAAAAAAAACGTCTCATTTTGTAAAAATTTCCACGTGTGTCTTCATTTGCCTTTGTAATAAATTTTGGAAATTGTAAAGAGACTTTATTGAAACCCTGTGTGTATGTGTGTGTGCACACTTACATTCTGCAGAAAAACCTTCCAAATAGGTTTGCATAACCTCCTGAGACCCCACCCATTCATGTATGTCCATTGTAGTGGACATGATGTTTTTGCATCTCTTTTCACTGATGTAAGGAAACATTTATTCCTGTTGTACACTAAAGAGGAAATGCTGTGAAATTAAAAATAAAAATAAATTGGAAAAAATCTAAATTGTAAGATGTTTTATTTTCTCCAAAAGACAAATAACCTAAATTGAAGGACACTTTTTTCCTTGGGTCTCAGGAGGATATTGTAACCTACAAATCATCACACCCAACTGCTCATACTGTAGTGATAACACACCAGATTATCACGGCACTGTCATACTTCTGTTCAGCTAATTCTGCCACGTGCAATTTGAAATCTTTATGAATTAAGACTCATTAATCGTCGATGGTGCAAAGTTTGGGACGCAGTAAAATGTAGGCCCTCCGTGTATGGGATACATTGAGTTTCGCTTTATAAGGGTTACAGCAGCTTATTAATAAACTATATTAATTATTAGCAAGGCAGAGAGTAGACTGCAGTTTAAAGACCCACGGGTGCACGCTGTCGGCTCAGTTTACGATGATTTTAACTGCAAGGAGAGTAGTTGCAGGAGGGCTGACAGAACATGAACGCCGCGCACCGCGCACAAGATTAGTATGTGGACACAGTCACAAAGAAAAACTATATAATCCGCGGCTTTCAATAGTAATAAACAAACGTATGCATGTAAATGGTGCAGGTTACGAGTAATGTTGAGTAATGTTTAATAGCTAACCGCCACAAACAGAATCGGAGTCATTCAGCCTCGATAAGTGACGCCTGGAAGCAAAAAGAGATTCATCCAGCTACCTGTAGCCCACCATCTGTACGCCGCTGCCCTGCTAATTTAGCTAGGCATGTTCCCGAGCGGACATCGACACACATTTTCTCGGAACGCATCATTTGTCACGCTCCGGCGAACGATTACCTCTTTCTTGACCTGTCCATCTGTATGCGTGCCGTAAAGTTGCAAAACAAACAGCAATCCACACAAAACTTTCAGCGACACGTCCATATTTCCGTCTCGGGTCGACGGTAAAAGTTCCGCCTGTGAGCTATCACGCTACTTTTCTAACTCGCAACGATTGCAACTTTCTCATTGGCCAAACCCACCGAAGGGGGAGCCAATAGAGGCCTGTTGCCGGAAGAGGTCGCGTGGCCAAGCGCTGCTTTTTTGTGATTGGTCAGAATTGTGACGGAAGATCTTATTATAAAAAGCAACTTCAGTTGGCAAACGATCCGCCTGCAAACGGTTTACTCAGTACCGGGTCGCAGAATCAAATTTATATCATAGGTTTTCGACCTGAGGTGCGTGGAGCGGTTAAATTGCGTCCACAAAGACGTTTTCTGATGCCGGGTCCCCCCCCCCATCCCAAGGATCGCCCCCTCAGGAGAAAGTGTTAAAAACCGAAGCCCACTATTATTTGAACACTAGTGGGAAACAGTACGTACGTCTAGTCAATTTTTCTTGTGGCAGCTCGTGGTTTAACAAAGGTTGTAATATATTGTACTGGCAGACCGAGCAATCGTAGCGACGGTGAGAAACGAGGAGGATTTATTAAGAGAAAAAGAATGTCCTTTTAGTAAACCCCTAAAAGGAATAATGCAGACATTAACAACCACTGAACAACACGTAAGATGGAAATACAAGGAGGTCTGACACCGGAGAGTAAAGCACACACGTGGTGGGTAGTTTATAATACCTAGAGATCCGCGAGAAGCAGGCAGGGTTCACGCAAGGGCACCCGCGACAACCGGGAACTCGAGTATTAACAATAACACACTATTTGCAATTTCCCAGCATGCTCCGACGCTATACTATATACACTTTAAATTCGCTCAAGGTTTAGGTGATCACGAAGAATTTTGATCCACGCTGCTTTCAAGTACGTTTAAATGGCTAGATCAGGAGTAGGAAGTCTGTAGACCAGGGGCAGGGGTCTCCATCTCTGATCCTGGAGAGCTACTGTCCAGTAGGTTTTCCACTGGCCGGGTAGAATAGAAAACCTACTGGACAGTATCTCTCCAGGAACGGATTTGGAGACCCCTGCTGTAGACAGTTGTATAGAACTCAATTAAAAATGTCTTTGTATGTGCCGTGTGGTTAAACGGGCGCAGAAATCCTATATTTATCCTTGAAAACTTGAAAGAAATCAAATGATTGCGTGAGCTGCCACGCCAAAAAGCTGAATAGCGCCATACAACTGACGTCCTTATTAGTAATAATATGACCATAACCGATGTAATAACGGACATGTCATTAAAAATCTTGCTCCGCGTTGCGCCTAATTTTGGCTCTCCATTCCAGGAGAACAACGTTTTGAACAATATCCTATCCTGATGTAAATGAGAAGACTTCATAAAGTCGGTTACAGTGACCAGGTGAAATTCTTCTCCAATAACACAAGTAACATTTTATATAAAAGTTATTCACACTATTAAATACTAATTGAAATACTAGCAGATATATATATATATTTTTTTTAAAATATGAATTAGAATAAGTAAGAGGGTAATCTCAATTGAATATCTATTGCAGGGGTGCCTAACCCATCAATCGCAACGTGTTTCCAGGTCGATCCGTAGATGATTAATGGATGCTTAATTTCATTGGTGGCTAACTGGCTGATCGCGAATGGCAAAATATACCAAGATGAACCACCTCCCCCCGGCCAGCAAAATTTACCGATGGGACTCCACCCGGTAGACGCAAAATATACGGTGGTATCTCAGTAGCTCGCAGGAGTACTTTCTTTGTAAAAGTAGCTCTCACCGTAACAAATGAAAAGATTGGGCACTCCTGATTCTATTTTATTACTTTGTAAATCTCAGTAATTGCTAGTTTGTGTTTTTCTTAAGGAGATATCATTATATATAAAACCTATTAATGATATACAAATAAGCTATTTTCATTTTTACTTTTGTGAAATGGCGCAGCGCAATCGAAACGCGGTCTTTGTCAAAGAAGAAATACGGGAGGAGTGTGCAGAAACTGAATGCACATGCGCAGTTGCAATCTGACACTTGGAAGGAGATTCTAATCTAGTGGATCTCCATTATGCTTTAAGTATGAAATGGTGTAAATTGCAGAATGCCGGAGTTGCGAAAATACTCAGCATGAAATCAATGCCAAAAATTTAATCTAATTACAACACAAAGCACAAATATGTTTATTTCTTACCATCAAAAAAGTTATTTTTAAAACACATGCAAAAATATAAAAAACGTTTAATGCAAAATAAGTATATTTTTTAACGTAGAGATACTAGAATCTACCAAACTGTCGTCTTTAAAGTTGAATGTATTGATTTTAAATGTCCATCTAATATTTCTATGCACATATGCATGCAAGAAACCTCTCAACAGCTCATACAGGTAACCTGTAACCTCCGCATAAAGCACTCATAGCCAGAGTTGCAAAAATCTCCAGCCCGAGGTCTGCTTAGAATCAGCCCAACGGAAGCTGAAACTAGCCCAATATTTGAAATCCCAGTATACTGTATCTCAAAGAAATAAACCAGGATTTTGCATGCTGATCACATTCAAATGTTCAAGATTTTAAAACTACAGTTAAGCACAATGACGTCACGTAGACAGACGCACTCTTTTTCCCGGGATGCCAGCTGCTCAGCTGGCTGGAGTGAGATTTTCAATGCGAGACTAGTTTGAACACATATTTACATGTATTTATTTATTTACCTATTGTAAATAGTCTGTAGAGCTTGCAAACTACCCCAGTGCTTCTGATGCAGCTAATTTTAGATTTATGATGGAATAATCCAAGTTTGCCTTAAGATTTTTTTGTGTCACCCCAGATGCGTGATAGTAAGCAACCCTGCTCTCCGTGTACGTCTGTCTCTGGCTGTCGGTGGCTGGCGATTCAGTATTACTCAAGATTAGGAGCGACTTGCAGTCACAATAATTATTTTTCCCTTTAACTACCGCTGCCGTAGAACATTATGAAAGCAGCCCAAAAACCCACAAACCGCGACCTAGTAATATTTACCCGCAACTGTACTTTACAAAAATCCCTAACTGAGCGGGAAAACCGCGGACCTGGCAACTCTGCACAAAGCTCAGACACGTACAAGTATCATAACCCCTTTGATTTTCCTCGCCAAAACTTGCAAATGGAAAAAAGTCCGCACCGTATGTAGGTAAAACATCTAAATGAATGAAACAAAAACAAAAATCATCCAACCAGGTCGAACTTTCTTCGTACAGTAAATTCGTGCACCAGTCCGTTTCGATACCGGGCACCGCATTCGGCATTAGTCAACCAATACCGAGGCGAGCCGCTGCTTCGGCCATTTAGAAAGCAAGAATTTTTCAGCCAGTCAGCCAATGACGTTGTCCCTAGGATTTGAGCAGGATGCGCCATTTTAGTGCGTCTTCAGCCATCCGGCAAGATGGCGGACTTGCTTTGTCTTCTGTGATCTGGGTGATTCAATATTCAGTATTTTTAACCGAAATATTGACCGGTCAAAATTTCAGGAACTTTGTTTCGGGAGAGAGGTGTCACCCACTCCACGTGTCTTTGATCAACTAGACATGACGACAGAGATCTGCAGGTAAGTGTGAAACTGGAGAAGGTTTTTTTCGCGTCCCCCCCACTTATGCATTCATAGCAGTTAGCTGCTGTGTGTTACAGACCCGGCATCTTCCTAGCCGTAGCGTGGATTGCAGTACAGCTTACTGCAAATTGTAAGGGACGTTGTTTAGTTCACCGGGGAGCTAAAATGAGCAGCCAGCTCATCAGATCGGTTATTTTGAAAGGGTGAAAAGGCAAATTTCTTTGAATCCATTAAGTCGGTTTTATATGCCAGGCTTTTTATTTTGGGGGAGGAGACAAACATGCATCCATGCACCATGCATCGGGATGCAGGGCTGCAAGATTATATTCGATTGTGTTTATTTTGTAATGACTGCCGTTCAATAGGCGTGTTCCTTTTCGGATATATTCTATACAGTGTAAGAAACAGGGACAATTATTTGTATGTGTAGCTCTCTGCATCCGTCCCGTTGTCGACACAGTGGCAGCTTGGTGGGAAGCTGACCCGTTTAGAGAAATGCGAGGTTTATAATGCGGGTCTTTACATGCCACGATCGCAGCAAAGGGTGGCCGACTAGCCGGCGCCCATCAGGTAGCGGCGGACTGAGTCTAATGGAGGCGCGCGGCGTGATTTATCTCGCGGTGACGCAAAGCATAAACACAACACGTCAAGGACGGCGGGCAACTGGCCGTGCGATCGGGGGATCGGAAATGATCGGCGGACCTGCCGAGAACAATGACGGTGGCTGGCCGGGCCGCTGACGTCACGGGCCGGGGAGGTGGCCAGATGTGCATAGAGAACTTGACCAACCACTGCCGCGCAGGAGTGCATTCCTCACCTTTGTCGATGCTTGTGCCTGATGCACGCGGGTACATTCGCCGACATAAGACTCGTATGATAGTGTAATCACCACTAGAAAGTTGTATTTATCTGTTGAATGATGCTGACATGCATTTTCGCCCTCACCGAATAGTACAATGATTCCCCTCCCCCGAAGTATGCTTAGGCAATGTGATTCTATTAAATTAGATTTATCGAAAAGTGCTGTTTCATGGGCTTCGCGATTAGGTGTGGTTGAGCAGTAAATAAAATGAAAACGTGTTGTCCCGGCTTAATCTCCTGTGATTATCTTATTACTTTGTGATGCGTTTCATTCAGCATGGCTGGAGGTGAATGCAAAAAATCCCCTCTGAAACGATCATAAAACCTGACTATTCGCATATAGTTGTGTGTGTGCAGAAACACTGCTGACTTGCATGGATTGACTGGCAAAGTGAGCATTGTTCACTTTTCTAACTAAAATGCATTGTTAAATACCTTGATTAATCGCTTGGTGTGTAACTTCATATGGTGCACTGTATGAACTGAACATTCTTTTCAGAACCAAGAAATGTACAAACACCAGCATCAATTACTCCCTGGCTCTGAATGAAATATATTTCCTTGTTGTGAAGTAACACCTTAGTCTATCTAGGAAGTCATTGATTTCTTTTCCTTAGGAAATGCTTGTCATCGAAGTTGCGTAATTTGGCTTTCGCCTGAACCACAAGCCCTTATTGTTCAGTGCTATTTGTTTCGAGTTGTCTGTCTGCATTACTTACCGTTCCTATTGATGTCGTCTGAGATTATTACTAATTGTTGTTTCTCAGTGTAATATTCACTGACCGTTTCTCGGGGTGCATATGGCACCTCATTGTGCTGAGTACCTGAAAAGTTGTAGATTATCGCTCTTTAAGAAAATGACATTTTAAGCTCTGAATTATAAGCTATTCCTTTGAAGCCTATATCATATCAGCCATGAATAGAAGTTATTTTTGTTGTATTTATTTCACATACTGCTATTTCCCGCCCCCCCTCTCCAACAGTGCCAGCAAGCTGAATACGTTGGTGACAAAACTTCATGAATATCTGGGTCATTCTTCTGACGACGAAAGCAGCAAACTCCCGGTTCCTGGGCATTCTCACGGTGAGGCTGCAGCTCGCTCTGGCACGGTTACACAGCGTTGAGAGTGACACCAGGCCATGTGATGCAGTATAAAGTTCACGTTGTTTAGGGACACTTGATTATGAATGAGACTGTGTATAATGTCCTAGATTTAAGGGATTGTTCATTTTTTGGATGCAATTTATTAACTGTTTTTATGTGTTTTTTTCTTCTTCCAGGTAAAATGAGCAAGGTCTCCACTGAAGCAAACACTATAGACAACAACATGGAAGAGGTACCTTATTTAATCTTTCAAACTCCAGTTTTTTAGTGTAAAAATGCACCGTACATGCACTTTGAGTTAGTGCAGACTTTATACCAAATAACCAATATTAATGCATGATCAGTGTTCGGCTTCTTAAAATTAGTTTGGATTATTTTTGTCACTAAATCTGAATAATGAACATATTGTCTTGTTTTCCATAAATCTTGTATTTCCTTAAGTTCGCCTTGGGGTTTAATAAAGTTTTATCTCTCCATCTACTGAAAGTGTTTCTTCCTCCGTATTACACATTACATTTTCCATCGTCAGATTACTTTAGGTTTTTTTTTTTTTTTAGGGTTCCTGTTTTTAGTACCTGTAGTGGAACGATATATATTACTCACCGCGGTAAAATGTCTGACAGGATTCATGCCTGTTAACTGGCGAAAAATTATAGTCACCCAAAAGTAATATTAAGCCCATCAATAAGCAGGGATGTACGTAATTGATACACAAGTATGCATTTGGCATATAAAGCGATACACGCAGCAATTTCTTGGCTTAGCAGCACAAATGCGCATAAAATAAGTATGCATTTGCACTGTTATGACAAGAAATTACCATGCATTTTAACCTTTTTACAACTAATGTGTACTTCATTTATGGTATAAAGGATAAAATGCACAGTAATTTCTTGTCATACTTATTTTTTGTGCTGTTACGCCAAGAAATTGCTCTGTCTATTGACAGTTGGCCCTCATTCCAACAGCATTCGTGTATTATTTTTAAATTAGGAGGATATCCCCAGTCCATTTCAGCTTCAAATCCTCAGAATTGTTGCTTCTGTAGGGGAAAAGCAGTGTTTGGTACGCCAGGTAGTGAAACAGGAAATGACCCGGTTCCTTATGGAAACAAAGTATGCATCATGTGGTCTACATTGCCACATATAATATCAGTAAATCAGCAAATGTGCAATCTGGCATTTGTGTTTCTTGAGTTTCATTGTTCTTTTTAATGAAAAAGGAACTGCTTTCATATGGTTACATGTTTTTTTTTCTTTTCTGATTGAATGTTTGTGTATTATGTACTAATCAGGCCGTCGGATTTAATGGGCTATTTTAGACTTGTATTTATATGGATGTTATAATGTACTGATGATTCTATGAAGGTGTTTACTCGACAGGCAAATAAGAACCAATGTGATTCATGCTACGTTACCATAGCTGTATTTAAAACCAAACTTTTGGTTCTTCTTGGGAGGTATTGTTTGTCTTCAGCAATCTAACATCGCTTCTCTGATGATCTCACAAAGTTAAATTGAAAGTACTTAAACATTTGCCACATAATGCTTGTTGGCATGATCTACCACCACAGTGATCTGCCCGCTGTTTGACTGTCTTTCCACCAAATAAGCATCTCAAGTGACTTACTGGATGAGATGTAAATGGTGTGGATTATTCAAACCACAGGCTAACACTTAAGACCAGTCTGTGAAGATGCCCTGTGGACTTACTGGATGGATGCCAGTCTGATGTGCTGGTCCAAAATTTGGCCAGAACCTGACCCTTCATTCACTGCTCTTGCCAGTCAAACATTCATTGGGACTGAGTCGACAGTCTGTGGTTGTGCTTGACATTAAGTACTGTTGACTACCTCCAACTTAGAGGGGTTTTTTGTGCAGCCTTTGGAAATGAAAATATATTTAAATAAATTACAGTAACTAGATAAGATTGGTTTACCTTGCGTTCTGCTTTTCGATGAGCGATAATGGCAGTATTATTAAGGGTAGCTTTGCATCTCCAGTGTTGGGGGTTCGAATCCTATCTCTGCTCTGTACTCAAGATGCTTGCGTACAAGGAGCTTCCCCATGTCATGCTGGTTTCTTCTTGCAGTCCAATAACATGCATTTAGGCTAGTTGTTTTCTTTAAATAACCCACCGTGTGTGCATGCTTGTGTGTGTCCTGTGATGGACTGGCATCCCATCCACAGTGCACCCTTGCTTTGTACTCTCTGCTGCCTGAAATAGGCTCCAAACCCCCGTGACCCGGACCAGGATGAGCAGAGACCTAGACTAGAAATCCTGGGGCACCTGTGTACATCTTTACCCTAATTTCAGCACCCCTGATTATTAGACGGTAGATGATGGCTGGATGGATTACTATTATTTATTAATTACCTTTTATGCCTGTCACACTTCATCTATTCATCTTCCTCTACTGGTGGGTAGTTTTCCTTGTGATAAACAGAGTGCAATTGTCCCGGCCTTCATTCCTGAGTATACAGGGTGACGTCTCAGATATTAGCGTCAGTGTACATTACTATTGGTATAGCTGTAATTTGGAATATAATTCCCAATATGTGTGTGCGTGTGTATGCACGTCTGCATAGTTTATTTACGAATGCATAGGTAATACTGAAAGCGGGTGTGTTCATTTTATTGCCTATACACTAGCACAACTATGACTCAGCCCAGACCCCGGTTAAACTGGGAATTGGCGAATCTGATATGGGTTCAAATATATGCTGCATCTATCTATAGATGTATGTATCGTTTTAAATAGTAGACCAGTCTGGTCAAACACGGTTTTCAGATTTCTGAGAAATTTCACATTCATAAAAATTATTAGATGAAATCCTTGCTACTTGCCTACGAGACTCAATTTGGATCCTCTGGCTTCTACGTGTCATTCTCATGTTCATCGTTCCCATTGTAACTCAGTGTGTACCCCCCCCCCCACCTTGGTGAAAGCCGCAGGCCTGAATCAGGCTCCCCTGGTAGCAGAGCTATGTAGGTCCGTGTGCTGAAATGGGTCACCATCCATTTTTGACTCGTCCTCAAGTTAATTTTCTTAAAATCCATCATCAAATTTAATTGCTCAGCTTAGTCGCTCAGTTCAGAGTCCGGATCAGAGTCCGGATGCTATTTCTAGACCAGATTTCCCCCTTTTTTGGTGGCTTAAAGCCTTTAGAATAGCTGTTCAAATTATTATGGGATATCCCTCTACTTTATTACTTTATTTTCCCGCCTAATTACGATTGAAATTAAATGCTGACTTTTTGCCTGTTCCCCTCCTGTTCCCTACAGCCAGGCAGCTCAGCGGAGGTTCCAAAGCCCTCCTCTTCTCGCTCCAAAAGGTAAGATCACGCCAAACTCCAAACCGGTACCGCTCTCCCAGAAGGTGGAGCCCCCCTCGGGGCCATAGAATCGCGCACGGCTGAAGTGCGGCGATGTCCGGCTTGCCCTTTCAGGAAACCGTCCGTGGTAACGAAGCACACTGGGTTGGACGAGTCGGACACTTCAAACGACAGCGGGAACGAGAACGCCATGCCCACGCATCCGTCAGACTGCTCCCTCGATATGAGCAGCTTGCCGAAAGGTATGGCCAGCTGGTCTCCCCTGATTGGTTGATTGCCGCGTTTGGCGATAGACGCCCACCTCCCCTCAAACTTGATTAATGTAAAGATCCATGGAAATTAGCACCACTGAGGTGGTGTGTGACAGTTTAGGACTTTGTGTAAAGAAGATTGTCGGTTCACATTCCATGGCTGTCAGAGTGATGTCACAGTCGGTCCCTTGAAAAAGCCTCACATCCCTGCTATCTCCTGCTCACTTGTACGTCGCTTTGTACAAACGCATCTGCTAGCTAAATAAATGTAAATGTAAAACGTACTTCTGTTAGCTGCTCTCAGGTGTCCAGTACCCGGGGTTTCTGTGGCACTTGTTCAGAGCTCTGGGCTTCGGTTCCACCAGCTGTTGATGGCCTGCATCATTGGCTCGCCGGCCCCCTTTCCCCGCCCCCTTCAGGTACTGTGGTAGTGAAGCCAGAACCTGTAGGAAACGAAGCCAAAGATGACTTCAGGGGCCCTGAGTTCCGCAGCAGAGGAGCGGGGAAGCTGAAGTCGGATTCCACGCGCAAGAGAGGCGGTGGGTGCAGCTTCCTCATTGCAAAGCTTCATTTACAATTACAACACAATGTGGAACCTCTGTGTTCCTCGGTGTATGGCAGGGGTCCTGCACATTGTTGGGTTTCCTCTCATTTAACTCGCCTGCTTCAGCTCCTTGTGCTAATTACTTAACAGCTCATTTGTGGTGGAACAGGGAAAGAACTAAGCTACACAGGACTGGAGTTTGACACCCCTGGTATATGGCATGGTGATCCAGAACCCTATGGTGATCTTAGAACCCTAAATTCCTTTTAAAATAAAGTATTTGATTTTCCCAATGGGCTTCCATGTAGTTTTTGGTAGGTGACACGGCCTTTGGTGTTAAAAACTATTCTTTGATTTGAGTTGATTTAGGGGCTGCCCCAGCATGCACTGCACCAGGCTTTATAGAGTATGGGAGGAGTCAAAGCTCACCGGGGGTGGGGGCGGGTCCCTTGATGTCCATATAAGGACAGATATGCTCGTCTTTCTGCAGGAGAGCACATGCATGGAATCGTGAGCTGCACCGCATGTGGACAGCAAGTCAACCACTTCCAGAAGGACTCTATCTATCAGCATCCCGTGCTCAAGGTGCTCATATGCAAGGTCAGAGCTTGTTTCTCATTTTTGTAAATTATGGTTCTCATAACGACTCTGATCCTGGGATGTCACACCACTATCCAAAGTGTCTAATTTTCCGTGTGACTCTCAGTGGAGCCTAAAAATGCATCCTAGCTATACTTTTTAAATGAAACGAGACGCTTAAAAATTACTATGCATGATGTGCTGTTTTATTTTTTACTAAGAAACAGTTGACCATACTCTGTACAGTTGAAAATCAAGTTTAATATCTTTAAATGTATAACAGTATAAAAATCATTTGAAATTGTTGGCTGCTTCTAATTTTAATTTCTAAATAGCGCCATTCTTGTGTGCCTGTTGCTTTATCTCTGAAACTGGCAAGGGATCAGTGTAATATACAATATGCTGAAACCAGATTTCATTCCTCTTTTCCAGTCCTGCTTCAAATATTACATGAGCGATGACATCAGCAAGGATGCAGATGGGATGGACGAACAGTGCAGGTCTGAACGGCGTTACCACCATCGTTATGATGCGTACAAATTTCTGACTTGGAGCAGCTCGGCATTTAAGTTGGACGTTCTGGGTTTATTTTTGCGGAATGTCCGAGGCTGCGCTCACTGCCCGCTGTAGCCCTTTTTCGGAAAACCTGCCTGCATCCATCTCGCATCGCGGTTAATCAGGGCAGGATAATTAAAAGTTTCCTGTCCGAGCATTTTCAACAGAAGGAAAACAGCAGCTATACAACACTGAGTAATACATTAGTAGCTACCAGAGGCTCGGCGTGAACATATTTGACTTGCATACATATGAGATTCTTAGTCATATTGCCTGTTTAGAGTTGCCAACTCACATTGGGCACCCGCCATCATTTGTACGTGTTTTATTAATTTAATATCACCAAAGTGCTTTATAGGAAACATACTGAATTTCAAGCCTCTCTCTGGATGTATCTGCAGAAGTTTTGCAGAAATTAAGTGTAAGTTACCATGGTGTGTTTTCCTGCCATTTCATGTTGATGCTGTTTATCCAAAAGGTTGCTTCTCTGCAGTTAAGATGAGAATGATCATGCCTTATCTGCAGCGTCGTCAGAGTCTCCAAAAAGCCTCTTTGCCATTCCCCCCCCCCTTTCTTTCTAATAAAAGTAGTTCTTCTCATTCTGCAGGTGGTGTGCCGAGGGGGGGAACCTGATCTGCTGTGACTTCTGCAGTAACGCCTTCTGTAAGAAGTGCATCCTGCGTAACCTAGGCCGCAAGGAGCTGTCAGGTATCATGGACGAGGATAGCCAGTGGTACTGCTATGTCTGCAGCCCGGAGCCCCTGCTGGACTTGGTGACCGCATGCAACAGCGTGCTGCAGAACCTGGAGCACCTGTGGTACCAACACCGCAAGCGTTCCAAGGCGGAGCATGAGAAGTCTGCTCGGGAGTACGGCACGCCCAAGCGCACGCCGAAGGAGAAGGCCGCGCTCAACGGCAGGGAGCATGGCGTGGACGGCCTCAGTTCCGGCACCCTGACGTTCTCCTACAAAGCGCTTAAGGTACCGAAGGAGCTGGCTAAGAAGACCAAGAAGCTAATTGAAACCACGACGGGCCTGAACAATACATTTGTGAAGTTCATTCAGCAGGGCTCCCAGGACCAGGGAACGAATGTGGTCAGGCTGAGGCACCTGAAGGCATTCAGGTCAGTACTGGAAGACCTGAAGAAGGCCCACAGTGCCATGGAGGTAGCCTTGGAGAAGGAATTTAGAGACCTTGAGCTGCAGAATGGGCAAGAGAAGGCAGCAACCTTGATATCACAGAGGCAATGTATGGATGGGGAGACTGAGGTTGCTGACACCTCCGACAATCATGTTGGAGAACAAGACTGTGTGAATAATTTAGCAGAAGCTGCTGGCGAGTGTTGTGAGGATGGTAGAGCCGGGCATACTGACTCAGATGTCGAGATGAAGGGAAGCCCCGATTCTTCACCCCAGAAAGTTCTAGAAGTCCCAGAAGAAAGCCAAGCCAAAGAGAAGGGTGCAGACTCTGAGAAGGACACGGACTGCAATGAGGAGTCTGCATCAGCGGGCGATGCGTCCGACGACAAAGATATTGTCTCGGTCCCGGTCTCTGTGCCTGACGAGCTTTTTGAGATGATGGAGGCTGCTGCGGACTCCTCAGGGGTGGCAGAGAGGAATGAGCTCATTGTGACCAAAAGTAGGAAGTCCTCAAGGTCATCTGCCACCCGTGGGAAGTCCCCCGATTCAGCAAAGGGTGCCCCGGCCAAAGTTACTAAAAGTCTAGTGGTGAAACTGACTCCTGTACCTCTCAAAGGATCTCCGGAATCCAGCTTGGAGATCAAGGAGGCGAACACGAGTGAAATAGAAGAGCCAGTGGCTTCTGAGCAGGAGGCTGATGGAGACGTGGACGGGGCTCAGTTGCAGGAGGAAGGTTCGGAGAACAGACGATCGCCGCGGGTGAAGACCACACCCCTGCGGAAACCGGCCGACAGCAAGAGCCGGCCCGCCCAGTCTCAGGACAACAGCGCCAGTGACACGGACAACGAGGGATCCGCAGAGGTGGAAGCCCCCCAAAACGGGGAGGAGAACACGGCAGAGTGGGAGAGTAAACCGAAGAGAGCCGCGGCCTCCTCCAGCAGGGCAGATGACTCGGACTCTGACGAGATGCCAGCAGTTTTGCTCCAGACGGCTGCCATGATGCGCAGCTCGGACGTAGGGGAGAGTGGGGACGAAGTCACGCCCAAAAGTGTCCGAAAGTGCCTGTTCCAGATCAACAAGAAGACGTCGCAGTCGAAGGAGAGGAAGGCCACAAAGCGCAAGCTAAAGCACGGATCCTCAGACTCAGACCAGGGCGACAAAAAAAGCACATCAAAGAAGGCTGCCAAGAAGATGAAGGAGAAGGGCTCCGACTCCTCAGACTCAGACCTGGAGAAGGAGATCAAGAGTCTGAGCAAACTCAACACCGTCAAGAAAAGACTCCTCCGAGAAAAGAAAAAAGACGACGAGGAGTCTGATGGGGGGAAAGATGAGAAGCCGTCAGCGAACGTGGCGAAGGAGAGGAAGAGGCCAGAGGGGGCGAAACGCCGACCGAAAGCCAAGAGCACTGCGAGAAAGTCAGCTTCATCTTCCAGTGAAGAGGACGAGGGAAACGAAGACTCTGGAGATGACAGTGGCGACCAGCAGAAGATCAAACCCATCACAGAAGAGGTGATGGCGATGGCCACAGAAACATTCCAACAGTCTTCAGGTGAGGCGGCATGCTCTGCTGACTTCAGCGAGTCACCTACAAGAGTCAAATGCTTGAACTTTGTACAGGAGCACAAAAAGCAATAATGTACCAATGTCTGGTATTGTCTGCTAATGAAACTTAGTGTCTCTTGAGGGAAAGTCAACCTTTAGAAGATGTGAATTATCAGCTGCCCGTAAAAACACCTATAAAAAATCGTTTATCTTAATTAACTAAAACGAATAGCCACTTACCACCTAGTCATGAAATAACCCTGAAGAACAGAAGTTCTGAAGCAGAAGAACGTCAAGACTTTTAATACAGGATGCTTTGATGTTCACTTGATGTCATGCTTACCCTGTAGGTGATGAGGCCGAGATCAAGCCTGAACCAATATTAATGGCTGACGAGGATGATGACCCAGAGAACAGGTATGATTCTGAAGAAGAGAACGTGGGAATTAATGGACAGGCACCATTTCCAAGAAACTTAATTTACTTTCCGCACAGCTTGAAGCATTATAATTTTGTAGTGCACCATTACCTATTGCAAGGTTTCTCAACCCAGTCCTCGGGGACCACCAGACGGTCCACGTTTTTGCTCTCTCCCAATTGGCAGGGAATTGGGAGAGAGCAAAAACATGGACCGTCTGGTGGTCCCCGAGGACCGGGTTGAGAAACCCTGACCTATTGAGTATATTACAGTGAATATGTTTGCCTACAGTCATTGAGGAGAAGCTCAGATCTTCTTGTTAAAGATGGTAGATCCTGTCTTTGTTTTTAAAAACAATAAACCAGGCAGTCTAGAGCAGGCAAGCTAACATCTGCTGGCTCTCTGAGTTTGGTGGACATGCTTTTAGCTGGAAAATCTCCTGGATATTGTTATGCCGACTAACTGGACAGTTAACTGGAAGGGTGAAATCGGTTGAAATGCAGGAGTGAGAAGGTTAGTTATGAAACACTGGCCGACATGCGAAAAAAGTAATAATAATAAAATTATCCCATATAAGTTATGTTCATTAACCAGTTGCCTCACAGGTTTTGGGTTGTTTGCAGAGATATATGTCATAATGAGCGAGCAGAAATAATTCAGTCCAAAATTTCATATTCTGCTGTTAATTACCTTCCATTGTTTACTGTGTGGTGATGTGTATTGTTATGGACTCGTATTTCAGAAAGACGTGGGTGCGTTGGGTGTTGAAATCGAGGAGACCAGGGCAAGTCTTTATTTTACAGTGCATACCGCTAATCGGGCAGCTCAAAATCCTATCAGGAAAGATTGTAATCAGCAGCCCTGCTAATTTTATACACATGAATGGATTTTAAAAATATATACGTGTAAGCATTTTTAGTGAAGGCGAGATTGATTAAAATGGCTAGTTTTGTATAAACATATAAATGAGATTTTTGTGAAATGAAGGCAGGTGGACCACTCAGTGCTGGGCGTTTTACACAGCTGCAGTCAGACCATGTTATATCGTCTCGTAACTCTGCCACTAGCCGTCTGCTTTACAGTGATTTACTGGCGCTCCGGTCTGGGCCGTGAAAAGCCCCATATCAGCAGTTTGCCAGCAGCCCCGAAAGGTGCGACCCGCTGTGGTTCGTAGCTGTCTAAAGTGCTGAGTCTTCATTGCTCAGTGCTGTAATCAAAGTGTGGATTAATGCCAGTCGACTTCCTGCCGATATCAAGAGTTTATTCTGCTGTTATGCACATTTTATATACCTTATCTTGGACTGGGTATCTTGTCGTGTCACAAATTTTGTATTTGCTGTTTTTTTTTTCCTTTCCATTTTTATCTTATAAAATCAATTGTAAATGTAATTTAAATTGGATTACGTTTAAAGTGGTCCTTTTGCCGATTTGTAAGGTTTTCATCTGTGTTTCGGATTAGTGTACACTAAAAATACCCCCTTATATTTAATATGTGTTAGTAAGTAATAATCATACCATTATGTGGCTAACTACAGTATATAACATACTGCTTTGGTTCATAGTTTGTTTTTCCAATAGGATGTTTTTAGTATTTGTGAAGCCAGTCTAAGCACCTGCAGTTCTCTAAAGTGATTTATCATTTTCTCGTTTAATCAGATATGTTGCCCCCTGCTATTCATCAACATGACCTAATTCACAAGAACTGGGGGGGAACTAAGGGCAAAAAAACATACTCCCAAAACCAGGTTTTAACAAATTGCCCACCAGAGAATCAAAGTAAACTTGTGGGTGCTTTTTAAAGTGATTCTATTAATAGAAAGAAGCTTGTTAGCAGTTGATTCTGCAGGATGAGAATCTGTATGGAGATAATTAGACATTGTTTATCCCAGGAAGATTTAGTATGCGGACAATGTGTGTTTGGAAAACTGTTTACCTCGATGGACATTTTGCAAACGTCGTTTAGAGCAATTTCTCCCTGTTATCTTCCCATAAAGCAAACATTCTCTGGTAACAATGGTGTGTCGGTAATTGCGGCCTCGCATGCATGAAATTTTCATGGCATGCATCAGGAGTACATGAACGAAGCAGGAGGTTGGTCGATTCCAAGAAGGAGTACAATTGTATGTCTGTCTCGCTTTCAGGGGCAAGGAAGGGGGGAAACTGAGCTTGTAACTGTACAGGAGACGGTGAGATCGATAAAGCCGTCTGAGGACTGCAGCATTCTGATGTTGTCATTCCTGTTTCAAAAAGAATCGCCAAGAAGATGCTTCTGGCCCAAATTAAAGCCAACTACTCTTCGGGCGAGGATAGCTCGTCAGACAACGAGGACTCTGAAAAGGAAGACAAGAAGAAAAACAAGAAAGCAGGCGATGAGGAAGAGGGGGGAGATGAGGAAGGTCAGTGATCTCCGATGCCCCCTTGCGGTTGTCTTGCGGTTGTCTTGCTTTAATCAGTGATGCTTTTGTGCTGATCACAGGGGGGAATTAAGGGGTAGCATTCAATAATGCAATTATAAGACTAATGAATTGAATGTTCATAAAATTTAATTGCAAGATAGATGTATTTTGAAGTTATGCATTCTAGAAAATTAATGAGATTGTTTTGAAATGTATAGCGCTAATGGCATTGTGGTGTAATTAGTAAGGACTTTTCAGCTGAAAAGTCAGGAGGGGCCCTAGTGCAGAGACCCAAGACGTTTGACCTAAACTGCTCTGTTATATATTCCACCAGTTTTACACTGGTGAGCTGCTGAATGCAGATATGCCCAACATGTTAAACGTGTGCGTGCTTTTTGCCCCTTGGGCCAGCATGCCAGTCCAAAAACTGACCGCATTGTTGAATCCAGAAAGCATTGCCTAACTGCTCTGCTAGGTACTCTCTGCAGACGAAGGTGAAATGTTTCCCTACCTATGATTCTGCTAGGGTACTTTCCACACTGTACATTATTTTCAGTACTTCCTTTATTCCATAGACTTGCGGTCGAGCACCAGTACCTAAAGCTCCAAACAGACCGAGGTATTTCTCTGGAGATCCCAACTTTAATTGCGATATAGTTAGAAGAACAGATACTACAAGATCAGGATAGCATAACAAGAAATAAAATAATATTTTAGATAATATAATAGAGCAGCACAGTACTGGAAATTTTCGTGATGTGATTTTATTCTAATTAATAAATATTGGAGTATTTATAAAAAAAAAATTGGAGTTCAAGATACATTTTTTATAAACCCATCTAAATGATTTAAATTGCAAGGATGATAACGATGGTCTCGAAGAGCACATACAGTGCTTATGCAAAAGCAGTGGAGGTAAATCACTTAAACTGCAAAACTTAGAAAGTTGTTTTTCCTATGACAAAGTAAAAATGGTTTAATGAGACTTAAACTCCTTGTGCTATATTGTCCGTATGGAATTGAAGGTATGAAAAAGCCTGATCTTAATGTACCTGACTAGCGATGTAAGATATGCATTTGCATAACATGCAGTATTAGTATTAATACTGCCCTATAATATACTACGGCCATTTTCCGATTTCATTCGACTCCGTTACCAGTTTTTACGCCAGTGGAAAACCAGCACCTTGGAGGTACCGTACGTTTGGTACCTTCTTGAGATACCAACAGTATAGTACCTGCTGCAGTGGAAATGTGTCCATAGCTTGTGCTGAACACCAGCAAGTGACACCATTGGAAATGTGCTCTTTAGTGTAAATCTGCCTTAAAACTCAACATGAAAGTAATTTTGTCTCAGCTCTATGATGAAATATCATTTCTTATTGGTCATTTGTAATGAATAGAATAGTCTCGAAATTCACATGGAACAGCTTGTACTGTATCTCTGAGTAATTTATGGTTAAAAAACATGTTCCTTCGGGGTCATTTTCCTTTAAAGCTGATATTCTATTGTATATCGTCATCTATGTTTCTATTGCTCATTTTTTAGAACAGTCTTTTTGGATAATGATATTAACAAAGCACTACTGACAGTAATATCCTGCATATTTTTATATTAACATTCCAGCTGATGTATCTATAAAGACTGCATTCAGTTATTCTGCCATAGGGTCATAGCATGTGGTTGCTAATGTTTAACCAGCTTTGCTGACAGAGAGGCGCGCTTGGTTAACCAAGGGCTTATGAAATAATGAGGCAGTCATTTTCACGTCACACAATTTTAAATTTTTTTTGTCTTGCAATTTTGGCAAGAAAATCGGGTGACGGGTGAGATGTGTTTTGCGGTGCAGGACGGCCCCGTTTCCAGTGTCTTTGATCGCCTAGGCATCTTCAGCTGGGGCAGACAACCGTTAGCACTCCGTGTTCACCAGACCGGAGTCGCGGTGTAAAATCCACATGGACCGTGCAGATTCGGGAGGGATCCGCATCCGATTTAATAATCCCTTCAATAATGTTGCCATTGCAATGTCCTTTACCTGTCAAGTCCGGCAGCTGGAAGGGGAGCGTAAAAGTGGACTGTCTGGCAGGGAGAGAGCAAAACCGTGAACCATATGTGGGTCCCCAAGGACCGTGTTGGGAAACACTGTTGTAAGGAATCATATGGTATAACCCATAAACGAAATGCTTAACCAGAACTGACTGGGTGAAAATAGCCAGGTGTTGATTGGTTCCATAGTAGCTGAATATAAGTCTTTAAGGGATCGAAGAGCTGTAGAATTTGTACTCTAAGATGAATGTCATGATCACGGTCTTGTCGCACTGCTGCCTGGGGGAGTCCTGAGGCCCGGCGCGGGTCGGGCCATAATGTCCCTCTCTGGTGGCTGCCACTAAGACCTCCGCTTGTCCCTGCAGAGAACGAGGCATCTGACTCGGGCTCCGACTCCGACGTGGATGTGAAGAAGACGCGCCACCGACACCGTCTCCTCCGCCACAAGCTGTCGCTGAGCGAGGGCGAGTCCGGGGACGAGAAGCCTGCCGGCAAGGCCAAGAAGGAGGGCAAGAGGAAAGCCCGAAGGAAGGGTAGGCGAGGAGCGTCCTCTGCGGCTCTCAGCGGGCACTGCGCCCTCGTGCTCCTTCAAGGGACCACCTGCCATAAATATCCCACATTAGTAGCACCAGTGGCACCTTCCAGCTGATTTACTGGTCTTGCTGGTCTCACCGGTCCTTTCAATTCACTCCGATAGTGAGCAGCGATGACACCGCCGATTCTGACTTCGAGGAGTCCGACGGGTCAGCCCAGAGCGGGGCGACAGGCATGAGCGAGGAAGTCAGCGAATCCGATGAGGGCAATCGTCGAAAGACGAGGTGAAAACTCCCGCCTCACCCCCCCCCCCCCCCATGCCACCAGCTCTACCACCCCGCAGGCCAGCTCTCAGCATCCCTCATTTCTCCTCTGCCAGCAGTTCTGTCAGCGTCATGCCCACAGCTGTGCTAAATTACCGGCTGCGGGTTTACTGTAAATTCATGAATAATCTCTTACCGCAAGTGAACTTCTTCTCCCCCAATTGGCTTTCCAGAAACTGCCGAGTACACAAGCTGCTCTTGTGACATTTCCGCCACAAGGTGGCTGCATTTCTCAGATTTTGAAACGGAATTAGAGCCCAGCCTCGTCACCGGTCATATTCCTCACACTCAGCCTTACGGCAGAGAGGGATTTAAGTTCTGGCTGTTGAGTTTTTCGTTACTCAAAATCAACCGCCCTTCAGATCATCAAAGAAGGCGGGGGAGGAAAACCAGCGGAGCTACCACCAGAAGAAGAAACGACGCCGCATCAAGGTGCAGGATGACTCCTCCAGTAACGAGAAGGTAGTGCAGGGTATTCTGGGAAATGGGGTGGGGTTTAGGTGGCAGCAGGGCCACATCCTGTTGATGATGCGTCGCATTCCCCCTCCCCCCAGAGCGGCTCCGGTGAGGAGGATGGGGACAAGGAAGACGATGCCGGCGATGATGATGATGACGACGAGTCGAAAAGCACGCCCAAGGGCCGAAAGAAGATCCGTAAGATCCTTAAGGACGACAAGCTGAGGTCAGAGACCCAGAACGCCCTGAAAGAAGAAGAGGAGAGGAGGAAACGCATCGCGGAAAGGGAGCAGCTGAGGGAGAAGCTGCGAGAGGTCAGTGGGGCAAACACTTCTGCTCATGTAGGACCACAGGTCCTGGAAGATACTTAGAGAGCCATCAAAAACTTATGATGAGAAGGGAGAAGCCCTTCTGGCATGAAATGAAGGTGAACCCAGCCCCATGGTGCTGTCCCACTGAGCCCCGGTATCTACCATGCAGGTCATCGTGGTGGAGGAGGCCTCCCAGGTTCCCTGCCCCATCACCACCAAGCTGGTGCTGGATGAGGATGAGGAGACCAAGGAGCCGCTGGTCCAGGTCCACAGGAACCTAGTGACCAAGCTGAAGCCCCATCAGGTCGACGGTGAGTAGCTTCTGCTGAGGTCTCTGACCTTGACACCGCTGCCGTTTCCTCATTAAGGCACGAAATCCTTTTAAAAGGTGCTCTGTGCTTCACGAATCTCCCTAGGGACTCGTCGCTTAGCGTCCCTATCGATATCCCACGTTTAAATACTGAATCGGCTCCCAGGCACGTGGGGTGGATCCATACGGATTGCAGTTCTCTGATTTTGATCACAGGAGCCTGTTCTGTTCCCTTCCGTGTCATTGTGTCACCACAGGAGTACAGTTCATGTGGGACTGCTGCTGCGAGTCTGTGAGGAAGGCGAAGAAGGCATTTGGCTCGGGGTGCATCCTGGCCCACTGCATGGGTCTGGGAAAAACTCTGCAGGTGAGGCAGCTCGCCTACTGAAGTGCAGTTCACTCAACTGCCACTAGAGTGCAGCTGCACTTTAAGTGACAGAAACAGCATCGTGTGTATCCGTCAGTGGCACACCGTGTTAGTAATTAGTAGGGGCGTTAGTCATGTGATACCGCGCCGCTCTTGCCCACCAGGTGGTGACCTTCCTGCATACCATGCTGCTGTGTGACAAGCTGAACTACAGCACCTCCCTGGTGGTGTGCCCGCTCAACACTGTCCTCAACTGGTTAAACGAGTTTGAGAAGTGGCAAGAGGGCATGAAAGACGAGGAGAGCCTGGAGGTCTGTCGGGGAGCCGCTGTTATGTTACTCTGTATCTTTCCTGATGTAGCAGTGCTGTATGCAAAACGAACGATCACGCAAAACGAACAATCACGCAAAACGAACAATCACGCAAACACACTTTTGGTTTAACTCGGGCATAATGTCGTCCATTCGCCTTCTACCCACTTAACCTTGTTCTGGATTATATGCGGGGTTTGGGGTAATCGGTGTGCACTGGGGGTTAACTGTGTGCAAGACTGGGGTACACCCTGGATGGAATGTGAGTTCATCGCAAGGCACAACCAGTCACCAAGAACACGGGTAATTTCGAGACCCCAATTATCCAAGCCGTATGCCTTTGAGGAAACCTGAGTACCTGCCGGAAACCCACACGACACAGGGAGGTCATGCAGACTGTAACCCCCGACGCGGGACCTCTGAGGCAGCAGTTCTGCACGATGAGTCACTCTGCTGTCACACCTGATGTCATGTTTAAGTATAATGAGCCTAGTCAAGTTCCTCAGATCCCTAATAGATTGTAATTTAGGGGATAAAAGCGCAACGTTTGTGTTCTGCACTTAAGGAACAATAATAATAGTCTAATTTAATGTCTGCGGGTTAATATAAAATCACCACAGGCTTCTGGCTTCCGGCGTGATTTTGAAGTGACTAAGATACATATCTGACATCACAGCCTCATTAGGATATGGTTTAACAGGGCTGGGGAAATGGTAAAAAGATAATTACAGGCTTGGAGAGAAACCCCTTTCTACACCTCAACTTCCTCTTTAAAAATATCATCCAACCACCTTCCATATTCGCTTATCCGGTACACGGTTGCCTGGAGATACCCTGGTGCAGGTTCCCCGCGATGAAATTTGCTGTGTAATTTTGTAAATTGCTGGCCCCCCCTTCAGTCTGCCAGGGTATCCACACCCCTACTGTTCCCCTGTTTATGGTAACTAGAACTCATTTGCTGCTAGTGTCACACGTAATTTTATCTAGTGATCTCATTGGCTTCTGTCCAGGGTGTACCCTGTCTACCGTGTGCGTTGTGGGACATCTAATAGAAGGTATGACGGATGGATAGTTGGATGGATTAGCTCATGCTAATCTGGTTAACACTGGTTAGCGTGCATCCTATAGCACATGCTAATGGTCCTCTGCATGCCAGGTGACTGAGCTGGCCACGGTGAAGAGGCCGCAGGAACGTGCCTATGCCCTGCAGCGCTGGCAGGAGGAGGGCGGAGTCATGATCATTGGCTACGAGATGTACCGCAACCTGACGCAGGGGAGGAACATCAAGAGCAAGAAGCTCAAGGAGATCTTCCATAAGACGCTGGTAGACCCAGGTACCGTGTGGGCAAGCCGGTGGTGCGGGAGCATCTCATCCAGGCCGGTCCCCATCCAAGCCTGAGCATCCCTGACCTCCTCTTGTTCCGTCTCCCAGGCCCGGACTTCGTTATCTGCGACGAGGGGCACATCCTGAAGAATGAAACCTCCGCCATATCCAAAGCCATGAACTCCATCAAGACGCGACGGAGAGTGGTGCTGACGGGAACGCCTCTGCAGAACAACCTCGTCGAGTGTGAGTACAAGAGAGAAATCCGGAGGCATGGAGCTTGAGTGGGAATCACTCAAGGATATCTGCTGAAGTCTTCCTATACCTATACACTATACGCACAGTGCACTTTTCCATCGCACCAAGTACGGTACTTTTGGTACGTTCGCTTTTCCAACGACTTCTGGTCGAGTACCAGTAACAAAAGTACCAGTACCGATCGTGCCAAACCAGCTGTGGTACCTCTTTGGTACTTTGTCGAAGTACCAAAGGTACGTTACCTGGTGCAGTGGAAAAACGCCCATATACTCGGATGTATACTGCTCCTGTAGCCCACCCAGTAGGACATTGCGTCAATAACACAGAGGCTGTAGGTCTGAATCCCAGGGAGCACCCACAAACTGACCTTCCCTCTTTTGTAAGTTGTTTGGAAAAAAGCATCATAAGCACTTGTCTAGTGTAAGGACACGATGGACCTAGATCCTGTCTTGCAGGGCACAAGGGACAGCATGGTTGAGTCTACACATCAACTCACCTGCTTGGTTCAAACCCACACATGCGATTTCCGCACACAGAGCTGCCTTGTACATGGATGCTTATAGCAGTGCCTGTATGTATTTGCGGTAAGGCTTGTGAGTGGTGCTCTGAAGGAATGGCTCTCCCCAGACCACTGCATGGTGAGCTTCATCAAGGAGAACCTCCTGGGCTCAGTCAAGGAGTTCCGCAACAGATTCGTCAATCCCATCCAGAACGGCCAGTGCGCTGACTCCACGCCGGTGGACGTCCGCGTCATGAAGAAGCGCGCCCACATCTTGTACGAGATGCTGGCAGGGTGCGTGCAGGTGAGGCCCGCCCCTCTCCCACTGACCTTACGACCTTACAAATCATCATGCTTCCACCAAAGGTAACCTTATCCCGTGGCCAGGCGAACATAAGCGCGGGCTGGGAAACATTGGTCTACGGTGTATTTCATTGTTTACCAGACCTCGGCTTTTAAAGCCCTCAGCTAGGGGGATTTTTAATGAGCTAGTGTCCCAGACTGAGGGCTCCCCTTCTCGCTGGCAAACGGGAGTATGACTTTGGGTGTTGATGGCATTCTTAAGTTCACCGGCATGTGACTGCTGCTGCCCCCTAATGGGCGTGTCTGTTTACGTCGTGCTGCAAATACCTCATCTATCCCGTTATTTTTCACATATCACAATATATCTTCACGCGAGTCTCCCGGCCCTTTGTTCTTGCCGCCGTCTGCGTGCAGTAGTGCGTTTCGCTCTCTTGGCGCTTCCCTAGTCTGGCACTCTGCCAGTCGTTTTGTCAAGCTATGGGGAAAAAACATATCGGTTCAAAGGTGTCCTCTGAGACTGGGAATATCGGTATTTGGGGGAAACCAAAAACAACAGCTGGGGCTCCTGGCCAGAGGTTAAATAATTTTTAATGGTGCTTTTGTTATCTGGAATTAAGGTACACAATCATTTAATAAAAATTATGAAACAGTTTTACCTGTCAATTGATATAGAATTACACATAGAAGCGTATTATGTATAATCACACACAAGACTTTCTATATATATTACATATGTTATGTTATATGCTGTGTGTGTTATAAGCGCCCACTTCCCTAATTGTTCTCAGTTTCCGTACCTAGCACTGACCTCCTGTTGTACCCTGTTTGCCACCCCCCGTCTCTCCCTGCCCCCACGGTCTCATTCCCCCCTCCCCCCAGAGGCGAGACTACACGGCCCTGACCAAGTTCCTCCCGCCGAAGTACGAGTACGTGCTGGCAGTGCGCGTGACGCCCATCCAGTGCAAGCTGTACCGCTATTACCTGGAACACTTCACAGGTAGCGGCCCGTGGATAGTGGCCTGCCGTCCTTCTGTCTGTCCGTTCATGTTTGATGCAAAGGCTGTTACTGAAGACTGCCTTCCTTACACAGTTTCTGGGTCATGGTTGATTCCCCCACCCCCCCATTACGTGTCATACACGCTGTCATCATCCAGGCTTCCTGGCACCAAAAGCCTCCAGTGTGAACCGGGTTCTGATTTTAACCCCGGCGTCTGGGAATTTGGGTCGGGTGTGAGGTTTGCCTCTGTGCCGTGGGCTGCAGTTTAGAGTTGAATTTGGGATCTTAGAACATGTCCAGGGTTAATTTGCGTTACAGGTGAAGGCGACGCTGTATTTATCCTGATGTTTAGCCTATGTTACAGCTTTATTTGTTTTTAAGCGTCTTTGTGGGTATGGTGATGTTATGGTTTAGTCATGCGTCTATGTGATGGTTGTTTTGTGCTTTTTCTCGTTGTGAGTTTTCCTGTGGTAGGTGGTTAGTCATGGGTTTAATTATGTTAAGGGTCTAGTTGTGTTTTGAGTTTAGTAATAGAGTAGGTTTAATTGCTTTGTGAGTTATGAGTCTGTTGTGTTACTGCTGTTTGCGTGCTGCACGCCTGCGTTACCCCGTGTTGCTAGCGGTGAGGTCTCCAGCGGTGGGGGCAGCTGGCAAGGCAAGGGGGGCATCATTCACACAGGTTCCCACGTCCCTTTATAACGATGCGCCCTGGGAGAGCCCCCCCCCCCCACTCATTAGTCTGCTCCACGTTGAGCCTCCCGCAAGCCCTGACCGTGTTGTGACTGTGAACGAGCCCCGTGAGCTCCCCCCCCCCCCCCACCACCACCTTCCTGGGGACCACCGGGCTGGCACAGTGACCCCCTACCGTTTTAAACATTTCACCGTGGGGAGGAGGAGGGACGTTGGGGTTAGGTCAAGGAACAGATCACTCTGGCCTTATTTTTAATGGACATTCTTCGTTACAAATTGCTCTTTTATTTTAGCCCCAAGTCTGACAAAAACAAGTGTAGCTTCCAAATAAAAGTTGCCCGGCCTTTAATTAGCCCGGGTCTGACGGGGGCCGGTGGTTAGCAGCCGCTCTCCTGTAGCGGTAAATGCTAGTTAGACGGAGACAAAGGCTTTTGTCTGAAATGCCGCCCATCTTCTGCCGCTAAGTTATGTGACTTTAATATATCGCCCCCCCCCCCCCCCCCCCCGTTTGGTGCCAGTTGCACCTGTCCCTGTGGAGGTCACAGCTGCGGGGCTTGTTTTGGTCTCGCGGCTGAGCGTGGCGATGCCGCGTCACGCCCCCACCGCTCACCCCCAATCTCTGCACAGGTGTCGGCTCCGCGTTGGAGGGGGGCCGGGGCCGGGCCGGGACCAAGCTCTTCCAGGATTTCCAGATACTCAGCAGAATCTGGACCCATCCCTGGTGTCTTCAGCTGGACTACATCAGCAAAGAAAACAAGGTGAGGAAAGCGAGGGAGGGGGGGCACGGAAAAGGCGGGCATGCGGCCTTCCTCATCTGCCCCATCTGGGGGGGGGGATATTCGGCAGAGTTTCCCCAAACTCATCAGTTTCTGTGGAAAAGTGAATAGAGAGGCAAGGCATGCAACATGAGGGGGTCTGAAGGCAAGGCCAGGTGGGACAGTTGGTGTCGATCTGTGGCACTCGTACGCGCTGGTCGCCTGGCAACCGTGTGGCACTGGCGAGGATGTCATTTCCACCGTGATTTTCAGCTCCGTCTATAGCGACGGAAGCTTGCATTGGGAGCTTGGGTTCAGTCTGCGCCTGCCCCTCTCCGCAAAGTGTGACCCGACCGTGAGAATTCGCACAAGTGTTCTGGATTATGTTTTAGGGCTTCTCTTCAAATTATACGCTGTGATATTATTTTGCAGCTTGTCAGCAAAGGTGACTGTGCAAGCCAGCTCCCCCGAGCTGAAAGGCCACCTGTAGCTGTTATTGTGGGATTTTTCCTCGTCTCGACGGTCTGTGGACAGCCCCCCCTCTACCCCCCTGCGTGGAGACTTTTGGTTCACAACTGAAGTGCAAGATTCTAGATGTTCATTATTATTATTTTTTCAGTTTTTTGGGCAGTCCGGGTTTTATACGCCATAATAAGCGTCAGCGATGTTGTTAAGGGCTGAGGTCCCTAGTGTATTTACTGTGGGACACTGAAAAGAGTCATATAACCAACCGGGGGACAGCAGCTTGCTAACACAGTCCTTTTAAGTATCTTTAGCTTCTCTCGGGGGTCTTTAAATTCCGCTGATGTTGGAAAGATTGGCCGTTTCATGTCCAAGTCCGCACCCGTAACGGATTCTGCTCTCTCATCGCAGGGGTACTTTGACGAGGACAGCATGGAGGAGTTCATCGCATCAGAAACAGACGAGTCGTCCATGAGCCTCACATCAGAAGATGAGAAGATAAAAAAGTACGTGCAGCGCCATAGACACGCCGGACCTCCAGGGGGCGCCCTGTCTCATACAGAGCTAGATTTTTCGGAGTGACGGGGGACAGTAACTCTGCACACTTCCGTTCTCTCTGATATTCATTGCACATATCTGCTCAAACTGTCAAGTGGCTCTGGAGCAGAGCAAGCAAATTCAAGTGTACTTGCCACTTAAGTCAGACATAGGTATTACTTTGATATTTTTACGCTGTGACTGAACCCGTTCCCCAAACGGCCCCAGGATAGCTCCTTCGCATGCAGAGCCGCAATAGTGTTTATTGGGCAGAGGGGACTCGTCCAAACCAGGCCCCAGAGTCATTAATGTTTAGTGTTTACCGTGTACTGGCCAAGATGCAGGCAAGGAGAAGTGTGCCATTCATAGACTGAACACGCCCCCCCCCCCCCCCCAAATCCATGACTGCACACAGGAAGAAGCGAGGCAAGGGAAAGAAGGCCAGCATGGACGAATCGGACAGCGACGACCTGGAAGTTATCAAAGAGTGGAACACTAGCTCCCGAGGCGGCAACCCTGAGGGGCGGAACCGGGCGGAGCCTGTGGAAGAAGGTAGTCCTTCTACCCCGCCCCCCCCCCATAGGGGGATCATTCACCCCCCCTCCATTCTTGTGTGCATTTATGAACCGTAACTGTCAGTTGTGACTCTATTGGTCGACAGAATTATTAATTACTGGGGATGCAATTTAATACTGTTTACAGTTAGCTAGAGTGCAGGCCGTCAAGCACAGAACGCCACGGTCGTCCCTGTGAAGCCCATCCGACCTTCTTTCTTGGTCTCCCAACAGTGAGAGCGACCTCTAGCTCCGGCCCCGGTAGTCCCTCTCCTGACTGGCACAAAGATTTTGTGACGGAAGCTGATGCCGAGATTTTGGATCATTCCGGAAAGATGGTGCTCCTTTTTGAAATTCTCCGGATCGCGGAGGAGCTTAACGACAAAGTGTAAGTCTCGTTGCGTGAAGAACGTGCTGGAGGCTCTTACCTCTGCCATCTGTAGTTATGTGAACCCTTTATCCGATGCTGATTGGCTGATTCCTCCCTGTCACACTTCTAGCCTGGTGTTCAGCCAGTCCCTCATTTCGTTAGACCTGATTGAAGACTTCTTGGAGCTGGCCTGCAGGGCAAAGGAAGAGGAGAAGCCCTCTCTGTATAAAGGTGGGCTACGGTGGGAGAGGGGAGGGTGCTCTGGGCTGGGATCTGCGGGGCTTCTGTACACCCAGTAGACGCTTTGTGGCGTTAAAGCCTTCTGGACTAACTTTCCCTTCAGCTATTGCGCATCACATTCCGAACTATCCCATCCCAACTCCGTTTCCAAGGTGATGTTGACAATTGAGTACTGATGGATATTCCTCTGCTGGTTCCGTTTGTTTGTATTTATTTATTCATTAAGTCCTGCCGAGACCCCAGCAGTGAGCTCTGGGCTTCCTCCCCCCATCACTGTTATGGAATGAGGACCAGCTGTAAAGCCCGTCTCTTGTAGTTGCGACGGGTGACCTGCAGAGCGGTGCTCTTACACGCCAGCACCAATCCATGTGGCCTTAATTCAGATCTTGTGCGTCTGCGTGGCTGCTCCACTTTACGGCTTTATCTTGCCCCCAATCTGAGGTCCGACTCCTGCTGGTTCCGATTGCTGTCCTGAGCTTCCTGGGTCTACTTAATGGATACATATGTGGAGATACCAGGGACCTCCAGGCAAATAGCATGTCTGGCATCACCCATCACATGTGTGTCCACACGTCTGCCGGACTCCAAGGCAACAGAACTGACACTTGACTTTACAGAGGAGCTGAGATACATACACATGTGGGAACACACACAAACACACTCACACACACACACACTCACACTCAGTTGTGCAGCCTCCAGCCATAAGGTCATGTTCCTAATTAAACTGCTGCAGCTGTTTTTACTTTCATTTTGAAAATGATTAGACCTTGACTCCCCCCCCCTCTTTTTTTTTTAATTCGCCTAAAAATGTTTGCTTAAGGGTTTGCAATTTATAACGAAAAGATCACAGCCCTGTAATTGGAAACACGTTCAAATGCCGGCCGTGAACACCAGCAGAAGGAGCGGCCATATT